ACTACCCAATTTATGATGATCTGCTCTAGAAAACAGACCAGTGGTTTTGCAGAAGGCCGGGTCGTGATTCCCATGTTGGATTTTAGCTGGAAAAGAACTGTATGAGAGATGGGAAGCAGAGGGTGGGCTGAAGATGTGCATCGCACCCCCCACCCCTGCACACCCCCCCCGCCCGGGCCAACAGCCTCCGTCCTGCCACAAGCTGGTGAATTTCTTTTCCAAGAATCAAATTTGCTTTTCAAATCCACCTCGTACTCGTCTCATTCCCACAAGGAACAGGTCTTTTATCAGGCTAACGGCTCTTTGTGATTTGTGGAAGGGGAAGACATCCCCAGAGATTCCCCACGGCCATAGGGAGGGCTGAGAAAAGGAGGCCACGGCTGGGAAGGTCCCGTTCCTTCCACGGCTGCTCTGAGGACAGCGGCTCTGAAGAAACCAGGGCGTCTCACGGGCAGGTGGGCAGCCGGAAAGCCCCCTGGCTGGGAGTTCAGTTGACAGCAGCCGGACTCGATGATCCAGACTCCAGAGGGTCCCTTCCAGCTCTGCAGTTCTATGGTGATGAGGATGATGAAAAAGCTTCACATTTCACAGCCTCTCAAGAGAAACCGCCTCTCCTCATCCCACTCTCTGGAAAGATCTCCCAGGGCAATAGAGAGGGTGGTGTTAGCGGGCACGCAACACGAAGGACCGTCCAGCGGCCATGAGTCCCGCGGCTTGGGAGCGATGGGAGATGTAGTCCAGCAGGATCGGCTGTTTCTGGGGTCAAGGAAGGCTGGTTCAGGGCCTCCGAGGGCCCTCCGGCAGGCTTTCCGTGTGGCGTGGAAAGAGGGAGGCAGGCACTGCGGCCGGAGAACTTTGGAGATTCAAGCGGGCCTTTCCGAAAACAGGTTCGCCCCATGGGGGAAAGGGGGCGGCTGGCCTGTGTGTGAAGGTTTTGTCCGATTTCCTCCACGGTGCTGCATTCGAAGCACCTCATCCCCCTGGGGGGGCGGAGGGCTGGCCTCGTACCAAGTCCACAGCATGCACTGGGGAAGCCCCCCCCCGGGCCTCCCCAACTTAACCCACCAGAGCAGAGCCCACCGACACCCCAAAGGCCGCAGCCCTGCAGGAGTCAAGGGGTCAGGGCAGCTGTTTGCATTGCACAAGGGAGCGGGCAGAGATAAGGGGGAAGCAGGCCGGCCAGCCAGACTTGGTGGCACCAAAGGGGCGGGGCCAAGGAGAGACCACCCCTGGGCACCCATCAGCCCGCCGGCCTCGTTCCCCAGCCGGGCCCAACGCCGGAAGCCGAGGCAGCTGGGCTGAGACCGGATCACCCCTTCTGGGGCTTGGAAGGGAGCCCCAGGTGGGGGGGGCGGGTATCCCATGCTACGCTGCCTGGCGGAGACGGGTCTCGCTCTTGGCCAGGCAAAGGCCACAGGGGGCTTGGACCCAAAATAGGGGCAAAGAGGAACTGAAGGCTTCCGGTTGCAGAGCCCGAAGTTGGGGGTTCAGTTCGGCCCCCCCCATGATCCAGCGGGTCCCCTTCCAGGACCTGCCCTTCGAAGACAATTAAGCCCACAGATCAGCCCTTGCGAGTAAACCCCTGTCCGCTCATCCACCAAGTTCGGCCACGTACATCGGGGCTGGCAACCGGACTCCATACGGTCACCTTCGAGGGCCCCGTGGCATGCCCCACGCCCCGTGGAGGCACGCAGGAGTGCCAGGTTTTGCACGAAAGGAGCCTCAGGCCAGCCCGGCCGCAAAAAAAGTCAAAAATACTGCTACGGCTCAGACTCAAAACGGACAACATCGGATGGCTTCTGGCTCTAATTTTAAACCGAGTTGGATAGCGTTGCCCGAGTTCTGTGCTTGGGGAGGCCCTGGTCTGGTCCTGGGGGGGGACATCTGGGGCCCCCAGGGTGGCCAGACTTCCCCATTCTGGATACAGGACGCTGGAACCGCTTTTTTGCAAAGAGAATCTCCCCCCCGGCGCCCGTTCTGTCAAAGCCCTCGCTCTCTGGTGACGGAAAGCCTGGATGTGGAGCTGTCACCTGGTTGGGGTGGTGGATCTTAAATTCCCCCTACATTTTAGATCAGGAAGGATCTGTTAGGGTCGGGCATCCAGTTCCCCTTTGGCCCGATGCTCAAGAAGGCAGGGATCCCTTAAGAGAGCTCGACGGGGTGGTGGTACCTTTTTGGATTCCAGATCCCAGCATCCCCCGATGAGCAGAGGCCGTCAGCCAGCAATCTTGCCTCTTTGACGCAGCTCCCTGCTCCCCACCTGTCCAGCTCATCCTGCTTAGCAAACCAGTTCTGCCTTCTCTCCTGTCATGTTTTCTTAAGATAAGGGAGATTTGATGTAGGGAATTTCAAGGACAGAAGTGAACCCAGTCCGGCCACGTTCTGGGCAAGGGGGAAACGGCCCTTCGACCCGGAAAACGCAGTTTTCACACCAGGAACAAACTAGCCATGAAGGAAGATTCAGTCTTTGGCACCGGCTTTCCTTCTCTCTCTCTCTGAACGGAAAGAGCATTCCTCAAAGAAGCCGAGGGTTGGCGGTGGGGGATCCGCTGAGTCCCGGCAGGGGACGATGGGCTCTGAAATGGCCCCACCAGGATGCTGTCCAAAACGGCTGAGAAAAAGAAATGGCAGGGCTCTATTTAGACTTGAACAGATTTGGTCATGTCCCCTTAGATGGGCTGGCAGGACAAAGATGGCTGCAATATCGTATGATGTTGCTGCTGCTGCCGCTGATGGTGGTGATGATGAGTCTTGGGCAGAAGTCAGAATGATATATTTAAAAAGGAACAAGTTGCATTGCCCAATTCTCAGCAGCATTATATGCTATTCGTGTAGAGTATTATTGACTTTACCAACAGGCCAGAAAAATTCAGATACTCTCTGGTTCTCTCTAGTGGCCAATTTTGATATTGCATTCGGAAGACTCCATAAAAATACAGAAGCCCAAAGCCAAAGAATACTTTCCTTGTATCATCATCATCATCATCATCATCAATTAAGTAAGTAAGTAAGTAGGTAAGTAAGTAGGTAAGTAAGTACTGTAATATCCCACCCATTTAGACCAAAATCTACTCTGGGTGGCTAACAAAGGTATTAAAATAAAATAAAACAACAGTATTACTACACTAGAGGATGGCGAAATAAGTTGTAGGCTCAAGATGGATAAGAAAATGGAGCAAACCCTCAAAAGTTCCTGTCAAAATATTTTTGAGTCAGCCTCAGAATGCCATGAAAAAGTAACCATCAAAGTAACTTGGTTTTTTCTGAGTGATATATTTTCCCCCTTAAAAAGTAACTTTGTAAGTAGTGGTTGCCTGTCTTGTTATGTACAAGTAACTATTCAGTTTCACTCCTTTAACTGTAACCACCACCCTGTTCTTTGAATTCTTTGGCACCTTTGAGGATCGCTTTCCTGGGAACAGCCACCCCCTTCTCCTAACAAAGGGCTCTCAAAAGAGGCCTTCTCTCAAACCGTCTCCTCCAGACATGAAGGGCCACCCTCCTCCTCTAGACTGGGGGCAGTGTGTCTGGGGATGATGGAAGTTGTAGTCCAATACGTACCTCTGGAGCGTGCCGCCTTGCCCCTGCAGGTTATTACTTTTCTCTAGTCCCACGACCCTTTAAAAAAAAGCCGTAAAGGGTTCTGCCTGCTTGTTCTCCTCAGCCCAAGCCCTGGCCTGAAGTCCTTCTCGCCTCGCCCTGACAGCTAAATATGGAAAGGGCAAGAATCATCCTAATCAGATGATAAAGAAGGGAAAATAAATGCCAGAACGCCCGCCCTTCCTGCTCTCCATGAGGACCCGTTATCGTTGCTGGTTGTCCCGCTTCCAGAGCACTCACGGAAAAAAAGACCTCGCCTGACAGCCTCAGACCACAGCGTGGGAATATTTTCTTTATAAATGTGTTTTTTTGGGGGGGGTTGCGGGGTTGTGAGTTGTAGGTGAACATTTCTGTTCATTCGCTTGTATAGTATTTCCCTCATGCAACTTCATCACCTGTTTACAATCTCTGGCTTCATCTACAGAAGGTGTGCGCAAATAATAAAGAGAAACGCACCTCTCTGGGCATGTGCAGAGTTCCTACTCCTTTCCTATTCCTGATCCACAGCTGACTTTGGCACAAGAGCGAGCTTGGGGTGGGCTAGGGTTATTCTCTGAGGCAGAGAGAATAATGTCCCCTCAAGATTTCATTGCAGGCCTGATAGCTTATGTTTAGAAAAACAAACATGCAAAGCCAGGCTTTTCTGGGAAGCTTAACGACCTTTAATAAAGATAAATGAGAACTGTGGAAAAAAAAACCCATCCACCACGAACCTTTCCTCCCCAAGCCCCATTTACAAACCAGCTGCTCTCTGAAGTTAACAAGATAAATATACAGAAAAACTGTACATATTTAACTTAGTATCAAATATAAACTCTCATAAAGTCTCGTAGAACAAAATTACACATATATACACCTAAGTATATATACCGGGTGAGGCCGGAGGCCCTTTATTCCTTTCCAGGAAACCGCCAAAACCTCCGGGGCTTAATTCGGCCAGGAGGAGCACGAGATTGGCAGCTGTCAGTCTCTGGATGCACTGAAAAGTTACGGGGCGTGATTTTTCTCACCTTTGGTAAAGACTGTTTTTGAGCGGAGCGTTTCATGCAACCTTCCAACCAGCACTTGGGACTATGATTGTTTTCGGACGTCAACTTGCAGAAGCTTAGTTCCTAGAGCAGCCTCCGCAAGGACCCATTCTGAGCATCTGCTTTTTCCTCCAATATGCTAAAAAGATCGACAGCTGCCAATCATCCCTCTGGACTTTTGCGTCCCTCTTGGCAGTGCGTAGGACGCCTCCAACCTCCCGTTCCCTGCTTTTGGTTGGCACGTCAAACCTTTTTGCTACATTTCCCAAGTCACCTGTGATAGGACGGACACCTGCCGGTCCCATTTCCACCTTCGCCTCTTCCCACGTTCAGCCCAGCCCTAAGCATCTTGGATCAGCAGTAAATCCCACGAAACCCTGGCCAACGTCTTTCCTGCCAAGCACGTGCGGGAGGGACTGGGAAGAATGGAATCCTACCCTCCTTCAGGAAGGGGCCAAGGCCCTCCGCACCTGACAAAGGCCAACCACGGAGGAGAAGTGGGTGGCGTGGCATTTGGCAGGAAGTGGCTCTCGGGTTTTGCTTTCGGCCTTCATGGCGTGAAAAGACTTTGGAAAGAACTCAGAAAAGATCTCAGCAGCTTCCCAAGAGCTGTGCATGTCTGTGTGTAATAGATATATATGTGCATATATATGACTAAAGTCCCAGCCTCCCCATCCCCAAATCTCACAAGTTTTGGTTTCCATTTTGGTCATGCCCAGAAACCAGCTCTGGATGTGGTCACCAGTGTTTAAGTTTCAAAGTTCTTGATATATGTAGTGAAGAACCTTAGAGGAGATCCCAAGGCTGATCTGGGAATTGGTGGTTGGTTAATTAATTAATTAATTCCATCCTTCCATACATCATCAGTTTGATTCCTTCCTTCCATCCTTCCTTCATCAGGTCATTCCTTCCTTCCTTCCATCCATCCATCATCAGTTCGTTCATTCATTTGTTCGCTCTTTCCTTCCCTCATCAGCTCATTCATTTGTTCATTCATTTGTTCTTTCCTTCCTTCCATCCATCAGCAGCTTGTTCATTCATTTGTTTGTTCTTTCGTTCCCTTCTTCCATCATCAGTTCCTTTTTTCTATCCATCATCAGCTCGTTCGTTCCCTCCTTCCTTCATCATCAGTTCCTTCCTTCCTTCCATCCATCCATCCATCATCAGTTTGTTCTCACGTTCCTTCCTTACATCATCAGTTTGTTTGTTCATTCCTTTCTTCCTTCTACCCATCCATCCATCATCAGCTAGCTCATTCGTTCCTTCATTCCATCCTTGCTTCCTTCCTTCCGTACTCATGACTCTGCTGGCCAGGGAATTCCTAGAGCTGTAGTCTAAAAAAGTAACTTAGCACAGGTCCTTATGCTTTTTATCAACACGTCCCCCACAACACCTTTCCTCCCTCTCCATCCCTTTCTCCTTGCCAGCCTCTCCCAAGAGACCCATCGTCAGGACCAGCTTGACTAGAGAGAGCTTGGGAAAGTTATATTTTTGACTACAACCCCCAGAATCCTCCAGCCAACAGAGGGGATCCTGGCAGCAATAATCACAGAAAATGTTTTTTTTAAAAGTCCAAGCTCTTGTTCTGGTGGCCCGGACCACTTCGAGGCAAACTATGGAGTGACGCAGACATGCCTCCCTGAACCCCTTTTGCTGCATCACAAGGGTTGCTGGGGCCAGAAAGGGTGTTCGGCCAAGCCTCTTGCCACGCTGCATCAGGATCATGACCAGCACCGCTCAGCGTAACAGCTTTGGAAAACTCAGGGCCTGAAGGCCAGCCTGGGGGCCGACACAACGGACCCTTCTCTCCCCTTCCTCTGTTCCTGGAGAAGACTGCTCTCCTCCAAGCTCGCAAGCGTCCCTTTCATTTTTCGTTGTGGGACCTCTGGGAGAAGGTGGGACCTGACTGAGCGCCTCTTTAATTGCGGTCGAAACTCAGCCGGGGACCACCGACCGTGGCTTTGTGGGCACCACGAATGCCGGTGGGACAACCACTTTCGACAGACAGAAAAGTGCAGTCCACGTGCAAGGAGAGGACCAGATGGGTGAGGGTGTGCGCACGTACAGAGGCGCGTGACTTAAACCTGCCAGCCACTCTCTCTGCCGGAAACGTCTCCCCCCCACCACACACCGTGGGGTCGGCTCCTGGAGTGCCAAGTGGACGGACCCGTCATCCCGCTGTCACCTGCCGTCGCCCCGGCAGGCTCCTGAAACAAACAGGTTGACTTTCCCACGCAGGAAACTTGAGTAAACATTGACCAGCTTTTTCACAGTCCGTACACTCAACGTGGGGCTCGAGGGCTCATCCTGAGCTGCCGCCTGCAAGAGAAGATGCAGAGCATGTATTAAAAAATAAAAAAACAACCCGCCAAGATGGCACTGTGATTGGACCCATTGAGGAAGGTGCGACGTGCAAGCTTTCACAGAACTGTTGTGATAAGGGGGAGAACTCTACCCAGCCACAAGGATCAGGGATCACTGCACACAAAGGACCAGCTAGCAACACCCATAAATCACAGTGACAGATCATCTCTCCCCCGTATCACAACAATACACCCACAACAAAAACACACTGATCACCATAATCACCCAATCTCCTGAAAAGGACAAAAAGCTGATCCCACAGCTATAAATACTCAACTATCCCACAAACTGCACCAGAGCACAGAGTTCTGACTCCTGTCGTTTGAAGAGGCCGGCCACAGAGACTGGCACAACGTTCGGAAGAACGTCCTTCAGGACACGGCCAAAGAGCCCAAAAAACCCACAGCAACCATCAGATCCCGGCCATGAAAGCCTTTGAGAACACATTTTTACAGAACTCTTTCACACTTCTCTTTGGCACCCATAAAACTTTTCAAGGAGGAAGTAACGTGGGACTGGTGTGGTCCCATCTGAAAAAATTACAAGTTTTATGTGGCTGAAACTTTCGTGGATGGTAGCCGACTTTATCTCAGTCATGACCAACATTTAAGCCCAAGAAAGCTTGTTAGTCGTTGTTAAGGTGGCACTAGACTCATCAACATCAAGCGAAGCACATCCTCCCCTCCTTCCCTCCCCTCCTTTTCCCTCCGAGATATTGCAGAGCGTCAAAGAAACGCCCTACGAGCCGTTTTCATCCCCTTCCGATCTTCTCTTCTGGAGTCTAAAGCCACCCAGCTTCCCTCAGCCATTCCTCACAGGGTTTGGTTTCTAGACTCTTCGCCTTCTGGATCTCCTTGGGCCGGATCCGTCCCTCCTCAAGCTGCCCACCATCGGGCGTGGCTTTCCAAATGTCGCCCTTCACCAAAAGAGAGCGGTGCCACCACTTCCCTTGTAGCCAAGAACGGCACATGCTTTCGAAGGAAACCATCTTTAGTCCCAGGGCTTCTCACCTGGTCAACCCACCCCACAGGGTAGTATCCTGTTCAATATTTACACCTACTTGGAGCTCTGTCCCAAAAAGCAGCAACACAGCACAGTGCTGGGGGGGCACAACAAGGCACGGGGGGGCAGAACACCTTGGCTGTTTCACCAGTTGAGGTTCTGCCCAGGTAAATATTGAACAGGATGCCAACCACAGGGTTTAAGGTTAGGTCATTGTTTTGTCAACACCAGCTCTAGAGGACGGCGTTTCCTTCTCAGTCGGACTCCTCACCTGCACATGCAAACCTGTGGCCTCCCTGTTGTATTGCATGCCTCTGAGTAAGTCAATGGCAATGTGCAAAAGCAGAGGCCAAAATACTTTTCATTTTGCTTTGCTTTTGTTTCACTCTTCCAGCGTGGTGCCTCTGAGCACATGCAAAGTGCATGTCTCTCCTCAACAAGCCAGGGGTTAGAAAGCAGAGCTTTTGAGACAAGGCAGAGAAGCCTAGTTCATTTTTGGAGTGAAGACCTGGACGCTCCCTTCGCCGGCACAGCGTACACCCGGTTGGCTGTGCCCTCTCACCTTTCCTTTCCTTTCCCTCCAGGTCCATCTGACCCCCCCACACACACACACACAGCAGAGTATGGGGGGCTGGGGAGAGAAGGTGCCCCACCTTCCCAAAGAGCAGAATCTTCTTTGCAAAAAAGGAAGAATTGTGCTGGAGTCTGTTCCGAGACCCTCCAGAAGGCCTGCCCCGCCGGCCCCTCACCTGAGCATGGTGGCCCCGCAGAATCTCCCGGATGCTGCGCAGGTGACTCTCAATCGCCTCCAGGTGGTGGAGGAAAACCGCCGGCTGTTGCCTTTTCACCTGCAGGACAGCGGCAGAAAGGAGCGCCTGGCCTCGCCAGACCTCAGACGCCTGCCTTGACCTCTGAGAAGAGGAAGGAGTCAGTCAGCGGACGGAGCCACTGCCGCCACCACCTCCTCCACCCTCTCCAGCCTCCCACCACCTCACCCTTCTCTCTACCCCGGATCAAACTTACGTCCATAGCTTTCCAGGCAGGGAAATTCACCCTGGTATCCAGCACCGTGACGGGTTCTGGGAAGCAACAGGAGGTCCTACAAAGCTGTTCCTACAAAGAAAGCAACATGTACTTCATGCCACTTCTAAGAGTTTGCTTGATTCGAATGGGTTTTCCCAAGGAACCTGCAGAACTGTGTTGTGTTGAGACCATCAGAAGATGGATCAGAGCATTCCCCCTCGCCTGGGTCCTTACTTGGATCTCATACCGGCCAGCAGAGGACTCTGGGAACCCCCAAAGCCAGTCAGATGCCCCCTCCTCCATTGCTTTCTCAGCAATTTAATATTTACAGGTAGGTGGTCTTAAGCATGGAGGTTCAACACCACAATCAAAGTTAACAGCAGTCCGTTGGCCTGTTCTTGGTCACAATCCCTTTGCTGGGAATCCAAACATCCACATGGGATTATGATCAGAACTTAGATAAAGTTATTTTTTTTTTGAACTACAAATCCCAGAACCTAGCTAGGGAGTTCTGGGAACTGTAGTCCAGCAAGGAGCTTTTTTCATGACTGACTGTTAAACCGGCTTGAAAATGATTTGAACCCAGAGGGTGGACGGATGCACCCTGCGGAATGCCTTTTGCTCAGAAAAGCATCTTCTGCTAATAAAATGAGGACAGTGGACGGGGGGGGGGGTGAGGAGACGACAGCAGGGAATAAATCGCAAGGAGAGAAATCCGTGACTGACGTACGATTTCACTTTCAATGGTGCTGGCATCTTGGATGTACTTGTCCATGACACTTTGGTCGCACATGGGTTGCAGGGGAACGAGCGAAGCCGGGTGCAGAATTCCCAGTGTCAACAGGAGAAGAATCAGCCCTGGAGAAAGAGGAGCAGAATTTATTTATTTATTTATTCCATTTATACCCCACCTATCTGGTCATATTGACCACTCTAGGCGGCTAGACCCACGACCAAGTCAGCCTAGAATGGAGGGGCACCCATCGGGTGAACCCTGGACGAACTCTGCTTAAGCGCTGCTGGGCGGTGGGACAGGCCGAAAGGTGGCCGGCTCCTCCTCAAGGGAGACGTTGAAGCAGAGATGATGAATGGGCAGTTTTCTGGGACTGAGTTCCAAAGACTGGACCTCCCCCCCCCAGCCTCTTCTGCCACCACCACCACCGACTCCACCTGGAGTCACCCACTGTGACAAAGCAAAAAAGCGAAACGCCAGCGCTTTCGAGAAGGACACTTACAGGTTTCTAGGTTTACTGTTAGCGGCCGGCACCCAACGGTTCGAGGGGCAGAGCTCCGATGGGGGAAGCTGCCCTTGGGATCCGACCTGGTGCCGGCGGCGCGCCTGGTTGAGTGTGCCAGCCACCCCCACACTGGTTCCCTGCAGGAGTTTCTGCCGCTCCAGTGCCACTCCGCCATGTAAATACCGAACAGGCTACTGGCCGTGGCTTGTATCGTTTCTGCTAAGGTTTAAGAGCCCCCAAATCGCAGCAGTAGGATCGGGAGTAAGCAAGCGCAAGCAAAACGAAAGCATGCATGTGCTGGACCCCTCGCCTCTCGCAGAGTTTTGGGTTTCTGATCCAATTCCCTTTTGCCTACCCTGTAAAAGCACACAGAGAAACGTGCAAACAGCCTCCAGCTCCCCAGACAGGCCATCCTGGCAGCAGAGGATGATGGCTTGAAACGGTCTCTGAGGATGATGACGGCTAAGGTCAAGCTTCTGCTCTCTGGCTCCGGGTGCAGGAGCGCAGGGAGAGGAATCCTTCAACCCAGATTCCTGTCCTCTAGCATCTCCCGACACGATGTCTCTCCTCAAAACTGCAAGGCATGGGGGATGGACGATCCGACCACGCCAGCCAGCCAGCCCTCGGTCTGCCCTGCCTTCTCTTTGCACACCCTCCTCTCCTGCGCCCAAACCCCCACCAGCAAACTTGGAATGCACCTGAGTTCAGAGACGTCGTTGGGAGTTTTGAATTCAGAACCCAGTTCCAGATTTTGGAAAGGCATGATTCTGGGACACCCACACACACATCTCACAGCATCCGGCTTCCTCCTCCTCCTCAAGCTTTTTCTGTCCCTTTAATATTTGCAGGCCAGAAGGACAGAGGCTGCCCCCCCTAACCCCCCCCCTTTCTCCCAGGTTGCTTTCCAAGGCCCGAAATAAAGCTTCAGCCGTTGCTGTTGGGGTGATTCCCCCCCCACACACACCCAGATTTACTTTTCAGCCCTTGAAGTCCGTTCTTCTGGTTTGTTTTTCTTTGCAGAAAGTCCTGCCAGATTCTTCTCCCGGTTTCACATTTGGCCTTGCAGTGTTATTTCAGCGTCCACTTAGAATCCAGCGGCGTTGACAGCCTGTTTATCAGCACCTTCTTTCCATTCCTTCCTCTCTCAGCCAGTTCAGTTGCTCTGCTGCCCATCTGAAGGGCATCGGCCGCTCAGCCGGGGAACATGCAGGGGACTTTCTCAGAGGGCAGGGAAAGAAAGGACGGGCTCAAGCTAGTGCACATTGACTGGCGCCATGAAGCCAGCTTTAGGCTGAAGATCAGGAAAAACGTCTTAACGGTTAGAGCAGTAGGACAACGGGACCCATGACTTCTGGCAGTGGTGGTGGTGGGGAGCGCTCCAGCGCTGGAGCCATTCAAGAGAAAACGGGACAGCCCTTTGTCCAATCTTCTTTGGTTCGGATTCCTCCTGCCTTGAGCGAGGGGCTAGACTGGGTGGCCTTCCCGAATCCATGATTCTGCATTTCCCCTCCATCCTGATCATCTCCCAGCTCGGTGGGAGTCGAGTCCCAGAAAGTCCGATCCTGGCACACACGTGCGCATGAGCAGCATCTTATGGAAGCAGCCTCACTCTCCACCTGGGGTAGCAAAGCAGCTTGAGAGGCTGATTCTCCTTCTCCCCATGAGTCGATCTGTTGGCCTTTGAGATCCCCCCTCTTTCCAACAGGGAGGCGTTTCATTACACAAGAACCAACCTGCTTCCATCCGCGTACATCATCTGCCCCGTCCCCTCTCGCATTGACCTCCTAGTCTAGGCCCCATGCTCAAATCCTAGAGCCTTCCTTCTCTTCCCTCTCTATCCTTTTTCCTCTTGTGCTGTGTCTTCCATTGTACGCTTGCCAACCGGGACGGCCTCGTTGGCTTCTATTTGCAAGCCCCTTTTGGGGTGAACAGCAAGGCAGAAACAAACGGCAGCAAGGATGAAAGGCTAACAGGATCCTAGCCTTGAACTTCTAGTCCAGGGCAGGGAGCATCCCATCTCAACCCATGTCACTGAATTGCCCTTTTTGGATTTCCTAAGGGAGGAGGGCCTGATCCCCCCCCCCGGTCCCTACCTAACGTCCGCTGGATCTCCTTAGACCAGTTGCCTACCAGCTGGAGCCCACCTGTGCCTTCTGGTGATCAAACCTCAGCCGACCCAGCCTGGTCAGATCAGAACAGCCCCGCTTCTTTTGCTGAAATGCAAGGAGACCCAGGGAGGGGGGGCAGGACCCTATGGGCCCCCATTTGAGGGCCTTCTTCCACCTCAAGAACAACCCAGGTTTCTTGGACAGCATCTCCAACCGAAAGCATCCAGCAGCAAGTAGGGTGGGCTTGGTGGAAACTCACCGTACTCAAGATCCAGGGAGAGTGGCCGCCGCCTGTCCGTCCGTCAGGGGAGACGAGGACAGGCGTACGGCCGGCCCCTGGACTCCGCCGCTCCCTGGCCGCCTCTTTGCCACCCACCACTCCCGTTTGGCCGCGGCCCAACTCCATCGATCGCCCCGACGGGGCTGCCACCTCTGCACCGCCCTCCCCCTGCCGACCAGACCAGGCTACTCACCAGATCTCCCCATAGCCAAAACTTCATGGTCCTACGACCTAGCGCACCCCTCCTGTTCCATGGCTCGCCATGGGTGGCTCCTGTGGGGCAGCTGACCGGGCCGAGGGCCAGTTGCGGCAGGAGCCACCGAGGATTCAGTCGGTCCCCCCTGTGCTCTTTCTCCGAGGCTCTCAAAGTCCAACTGGTTTGCCCAACAAGGAGCAACTGCCAAGGATCTTCTACAACCTGGAGAGCCAGGTAAGTCAACAAAGGACCGGCGCTTGCCGGCGGGGACCTCTTGGGCTCTCCTGCTGCATCCCCGGAGGCCGAACTTCTCGAGAACTTTCTCGCTCTCTCCTCGGAGGTTTCCCAAGCTCGCTGGGAAGCCCGGTTGCCCTTGGCTGGCGAGAGTCGTCTTGGTGGTGGGAACCTCAAGAGGGGACGCCGGTCTCTGCCAAAGGCTGGAAGTGTGCCGTCCCTCCTCGGCCAGCCGCAGTGGGTCCCGACCTGCGCGTTGCAGATTCTCCCACCAGTGTTTGCTCAGGGAGGGGAGAAGAGACCCCCTCCCCGCGCTTCCTCCTTCTCCTTTGCAGACCCCGGTGCAAAGCTGTGACACCCAAGGCACAAAGCAGGCACGGTTAATGTTTCATCGGCCTGTGGGAAAGATCTGTGACTCAGTGAGTATCCCAGCTAGGTGACTGGCCTCCCTCCCTCCCTCTCTCTCTCTCTCTCTCTCTCTCTCCCACCACGGGAAAGCCACCCTCGCTCTTCTGGATCCAAAAATGTCACTGGACAAGAGGGGCCAATTTCCGAGGCGGTGACGGCTGCCGGGGCCGGAAGCCTCCGGGGTCTTTTTTTTTTCTGCCGGTCAGTCCCAGCCCAGCTGGGGAGGCTTCAAGGGACGATAAGGGAGAAGGTCCCATGCAAGAGAAAGCACGTCCTCGCTTCCTGGCCCCCCGCCAGCCGGCCACAGGTCCAGGCGCAAAGGTGGGAAAGGTCAGCCTGCTGGCCGGCTGCCCGCCATCCAACGAGTGAGCCGCCTCGGCCGTGCCAAAAAAGGAGGGTGGGAGGGATTGCACGGTGAGAATCACCACTTCCTCAGGCTGGTCCAGGGGGTGACGGGTGATGCTCCTCAGTTGATGTCCAGCTGGCGCTCTTGGCTCTTCCACAGTGGCAGAGACCTGGGTTCGAATCTTGGCTCAGCTCTGGAAAGTAGTGAAGCTGCTCCTCAAATCTCTCGCACAACTTGAAACTCTCTGAGGATCATGATAGATCAGGAGCAACCGGAGGGGACAAGGACAACAAGAATGTTGAGAATGTCATTGCTGGCATCACCATCATCATCACCCTATCCCTGGGAGGGCCGGTTTCAGGTTTGCTCCCCTTGCAGCTTCCACCCCTCTCCGGAAATCCCTAAGTTCTGCCGGGGGAGAGAGAGAGATCAGATGGGGCAGGCGTGTCCATCTGGACACTTAAGTCGGCGGATGACCTTTTGCTCAGCCCAAGTAGCTGGTCTGAGTCCAGCAGGTCTGTTGACATTGCTGCTTTCCCTCCCCCCACTCTCTCTCACCAACACACACACACACACACACACACACACACGCATCCATCCATTCCCAGGGTTTGCTGTACCCATTGTCAATTTCAGCAGGCTGGCTCAGGGGATGCTGGGAGCTGGCGCCCGAAAGACACCCATTCCCCAATCTTACGGAACTCCCTGCCACAAGAGACGGTCTCCCTTGGAGGGTCTAGCAAGAGGGCCTAGCATGAGATGGCAGGTTCAGGGCAATGGAGAGACAGGTCGACGGCCACTGGCCAAGGGGAGGGGGCTATAGAGAGACAGAGAGAACCTCCATGTTCTGGGGTAGTCTAGCCAAGGAGGAGGGACCCAGTGCTGGGGTCTGATTCTGTTTTATTGTTGTTGATTCTGTGCCGGGGCAGTCTATTGACTTTTATTTTCTGTGCTACACCTGCCCACGTCTTTCTGGCCGGCATTAAAGGCCCCGTTAAGAAGGCAGTAACCTGATCACAGTTATAAGTCCCTGGCCCAGGACAAGGGGGGGAAGGAGAGGACCTGGCACTCTTTTTGGGGCTGAGCAGCCGTCCTGGAGAATGTGGCCCCCTTCTTTCCAGGGCCGCCCTGTGGGAGTGGGTTCTGGAGTCAAAGCCCCCCCCAATCCCAAAGCCAGCTCCTCCTCCTCTCCCCCAGCACCCCTGCCAGAATGGCTCTCTCCCCCCCCCCCCATCGCCCTCCCCCCC